TGCATTTTCCACATTGATAGATATTATCAAACTGTTCTTGGTTGAATATTTCCATCAAAAGTGATGCTAGTGTTTATTTTCCCACATGATTACTAACACAGGGTATTATCGACAGTTTATTATTTTTGCCAATCTAATTGAGGTGCAGTGATATAGCATTGTTGTTGTGATTTGTATTTCTTTAATTTTAAGTGAGGTCAAGTATATTTATAAGTCTTTTATATTTTTTCCCATAAACTGCCTATCCATTACTCTTTGCCCATTGTTATTGTCCTTGATTGAGTCAGGCCCTTTATAAATTAAAGAGATTAGCTCTTTGTCAGAGGTACTATGCAAATATTTTTCCCAGTTTGTCATTTGTCTTTGTATTTCATAAGTTTTTCCTTGCAGAAGTTTTTACTCTTCAGTGAGTCATATTTATTTACCTTTTTTCTTTATGGTACCTCAGTTTTGTGATTCACACCTAAGAGTCATCCACACTTCCAGATCATTAAAGGAAAAGATGCACCTATGTCTTCTTTTACTGTGTCTGTGGTTTCTTCCTTCTTTCCTTCCTTCCTTTCTTCCTTCCTTTCTTCCTTCCTTTCTTTCTTTCTTTCTTTTTTTTCTTTCTGCATTTAAGTCTCTGGTGTATCTCAAGTTAATTTTAGTATAAGAAAAAACCCTTCAGTTCTTAGTAAGCTACCCCAGAGGGCCTAAAAGTTGATAGTCCTAAAAGATGCCTTCACCTTTTTTTTCCTTTTACTTTTACTTAAGAAAGTAGGCTATTTTTTAATGATAGCTTTTTATTATGAATCTAAATGACTTTATAATTTTAAAAGCCACTAATGAATATTAAAGTATTATATTCCTCTAAATTCACTTTTAGCATTTCTAATGTCCCTACTCTATATTTTGCATAGTCACAAGCTGTGTGTGTATTCCAATTTATGCTCTGGGTTTGTCTTTTGTTGAACATGGGAGCAAAAGACAAGGACTGAGCCCTACTTCCTTGAAGATCCCACACCCTGGTATCTGACCCATATTTTATTAAAACTGTTTTTCAAAGTGCATGAGTCATGAAATCAATGAAGTGAGTCATAGCCAACGTTGTAAAAAATGAAATAGAATAGACTAGAAGCCACTTTTGGGGAACATATGGTTATTTAAATATGCATTTCCATGAAGCGTATTTCAAAAGTTGTTACTTTTGAAAGCTTTATAATACTTGTACTGAAACACCAAGTTTCCTGAAATGGTATGAGAAGAGCCTACAAAATTCGTGGTGGTTAGGAGGAAGAGTCACTTCTAACTTCTGTGGTTATTTCTTCTTCTTCCCCCTGCCCCCTTTTTTTTTGAGATGGAACCTCACTCTGTCACCTGGGCTAGAGTGCTGTGGTGTCAGCCTAGCTCACAGCAACCTCAAACTCCTGAGCCCAAGCGATCCTCCTGCCTCAGCCTCCCAAGTAGCTGGGACTACAGGCGTGTGCCACCAGCCTGGCTAATGTTTTCTATTTTTAATAGAGATGAGGTCTAGGTCTTGCTCAGGCTGGTCTTAAACTCCTGATCTCGAGCAATGCTCCTGCCTCAGCCTCCCAGAATGCTAGGATTACAGGCATGAGCCACATTGCGCCTGGCCTTCTGTGGTTATTTCTGAGGTCATCTGAAGAGGGTTCTGCAGACGAGCTCTAGAGAAGGTGGGAACTTAAGAAGTCAGATAATTGCGGTTAAGAAGATGGCTGAAGATACAAAAATGAGCAAGAAGGGAGAGAGCATCAGAGCAGCTTACATGAAGGTTTTAGAGAGGAAAGATTGAATTTATAAAATTAATTAGGAGAATCAGAAGTTGGAAAAAAGGGGACCAGCAAAAAGGGTAGAAGGGTAGGAGGTGCCTTCCTCTGGCGCAGGTTCGAACCTGAGTCCAACTAGGTTGTCCTCTTCTCTTGTAGAATCCTTCTCTGTTCCCAAGTTCGAAGTCATCCCCACCGGAATGATCACAGAAGGAGATCAGCTCCACATTAGGTGCACCATTCAAGTGACACACCTGATTCAGGAGTTTCCAGAAATCATAATCCAGAAAGACAAGGTGATTGTGGCCAACAGCAAAAACAGCAAAGCGGCCACCTACTCAGTCATGGCCATGGTGGAGCACAACGGCAACTACACGTGCAAAGTGGAGTCCAGCCGCATATCCAAGGTCAGCAGCATCGTGGTCAACATAACAGGTAGGATGCTGCAGGAGGGTCTTGGCCTATGGCAGAGCCTAGAAGCTATTGTGCTAGAATCCAGGGTGGCCAAGGAGAGCTGATACGTTCTCTGTCCCTGCTTGTCCGAATGAATGTGCTGGGGGGGCTTTGGTGCTCGTGGAGAAAAGTCAATGCTGAGCAAGAAAGCAGTGTGTGTGGTGGTTGAGGGTGCAAGCTCTGGTGCCAAATCCCAGCCCTACCCATCATTGCTTCCGTGACCTTGGGTGAGTTATTGAACTTGCCTCAGCTCTGAGAGATGGGGATATTGATGGTGCTCACCTCACAGGACTGTTATAATTACTAAATACGATAGCTAGAGCTGAGCACGGTGGCTCATGCCTGTAATCCCAGCACTTTGGGAGGCCGAGGTCGGAGGATCATTTGAGGCCAGAAGTTCAAAATTAACCTGGACAACACAGTGAGATCCCATCTATACAAAAAAATAGAAAAATTAGCTGAGCATGGTGGTGCATGCCTGTTGTCCCAGCTACTTGGGCGGCTGAGGCAGGAGGATTGCTCGAGCCCAGGAGGTTGAGGTTGCTGTGAGCTGTGATGATGCCACTGTGTTCCAGGCAACAGAGCAAGACCCTGTCTCAAAAAAAAAAAAAAAGACAGAAAACTATGCCGTAAGCATTAGCTCCATGCCTTGTACGGAGTGAGCACTCAATGAATGCTCGCTAATGTTTCCATTACTATGTTATTAATATAGTTATCTGTCCTCTGTGCCAAGCACTATGCTAGATCCCAGACATGGGTCCTATGATGGGGCCATGAATGAGAAAGTGTTAGTAAACTCAAAAATAATAGTCACAGTTCCCCTTAGTTGTACACTGTACGACAGATGTATATACATTTTAATTTCATGCTCATAACAATTCTGGGAGGCAGGTATTATGATGCCCCACTTTAGGGATGTGGAAAATGAGACTGAGAGGTTAATAACTCACCCAAGGATTACAGGGTTACCAAGTAGCCGAACAAGTGTCACCCCCTAAGCCTGTTTGACTTCCAAACCCACGAGCTTAAAAGTTCCCTCAGATTCCTATCCCCCTTACCTGGATTTATTTTTCTCTAAAATACTTACGACCAAAAAATACTCTACCTCTCTTGTTTGTTATTGTATGTGTTCAGCCACTAGAATGTAAGCTGCTGAGGGCAGGAACATGATCTATTTTGTTCAGTGCTATATCCTTAACACCTAGAACAGCGCCTGGCACACAGTAGGCGTTCAATACATGCTTGTTGAATGAAGGAATGAATGTTGGATGACGGTGTTTCCGAGGGCAGAGGGAGTTAGCACTTCTTGGGTCCCCAGTACGAGTGTTTGTTCATGCACATAGCATTCATTCATTCATTCACGCACTCATTTACTGAAAGCCCCGTATGTGTCAAACATTGAGTGTGCAGCGTCAGCAATTGTCCCCAGTATCACAGACAGGCTGCCAACTACGCAGCTGGGCGACTGGCAGATATGTTGGGTTCTGCGGGTCTGCAGTGTGTGCTAGCAATTTAGTTAATTATTGATCATGACAAATATTTGATGGCTCATGATATTTTTTTACTAATATGATTTATACCATCTCATTAGAGAAAAGTACCAATTCAACGTATATTGAGTACTTTCTGTATGCAGGGCAACTTATTGGGGGTAGAGAGCTGCCTAAGACCAGGCTTTGCCTTTGAAGAATTCATAGACATAAACAGATCGGCCTATGGCATCTTGTGTCAGCAGCCTAGACGCTCTGCCCAGGGCACTTTCCCTGGAAAACTTCCTCCACGAGGCTTTCCCTGATTTCCCAAGCCTAGGCTCAGTGTTCCTTCTATGGGCTGTGCTGGAAGCAGCGTGTTGGAATCACCCGCTAGATGTGAGCACTTGGAAGTCAGGGACTGTTTCCTATCCACTCTGTCTCCCAATGCCACGCGAGGTGCCCACCACAGAGACGGCCGGAGACAGAGACAGCAATAAACACTCGTGGAACGAAATGAGTGAGTGAACGAATAAACCAGTGAGCGTGGGAATTGTTACCTGCTGCCTTACAAGTTGCAACACTTGTCTAATCCATGTCTGTGAAATAAATTGGATTAACAAGAGAGTGAAATCTGCCTTGGGAACCCCAGGCAAAGAACGAACTCTAGCTCTTTAACGGTGTAGGCATCAGGTGTGTGGGAAGTGAAGGGAAACTTTCTGCAGGAAGTTGGGACTTGGTTCTGCCAACAGCAGCTGGGCCAAGGGCCTCTCCAGGAAGGGGCTTCAGGGTGGTGGCCAGACACCTCTCACTCCATTCCCACTCACTGTTTTTCAGAACTGTTTCCCAAGCCGAAGCTGGAATTTTCCTCCGCACGTCTGGACCAAGGTGAGAGCTTGAACCTGTCATGCTTCATCCCAGGAGCACCCGTAGCCAACTTCACCCTCCAGAAGGGAGACATGATTGTGTCACAGGCTCAAAATTTCACCAAGATAGCCTCGGAGTGGGACAGCGGGACATACACCTGCACTGCTGCCATCGGCAAAGTAGTCAAGAAAAGCAACACAGTCCAGATATCCGTGTGTGGTGAGTACGGCCTCGCTGACACAGAGGGTGTCCCAGGATTGAATGGGAGGGAGGGGTTTATCGCCAGCTGCCACCCTGTCCTGCCTGAAGGCAGATCAGACCCAGGCAGGGGAAGAGCTGATGGGAGAGAGAGAAGGGTGAGATGGGGGGCTGAACAGAAGTGGGTATTCCTGCTAGGAGCGCAGGAGAGAGGCAGTGCAAGGAAAACGGTTGGCCAAAATCAAGTTCACAGCTGTATCGTGACAGTGTGCTGTCGGTGCAGACTCCGAATGGGCAAGATTCTGGCCGCTGGAGCAGGCACCCATGCTAAAGGCCACAGAGGAAACACTGCTTAGTCAACTTTAAGAAGATCTAAGTCCCAGATTTTTATCCAAAACCTGGCTAACCTGAAGGGGTAGGACTTCTGGAGGGTGAAATGTAGTATCTGAGCACCGAGAGCTGGACTTCTCAGGCTTGAATGTGCACACGAGACCCGAACACAGGTTCTGACTCAGTAGGTTGGGTCGGGCCCGATTCAGCATCTGTAACGAGGGCTGCTGCTGGCCCCTGGACCACACTTTGAGTAGCAAAGTTCTTTACGAATGTAGATCACCAGGTAAGCTGTCACTGTCCATGTTATTATTCAGTCATGGGCCTTCAGTTTAACCTGTGGCCAGGATTTAACCAGCTAAGATTTTAGTCTCAAATGAACCAGGATGTCTTATCCTATTGTTGACTCTCTAGCCACCCACCTAACTCAAAAGGAAAAAACGCAAGAGACAAATTTGAGTTGTTACATTTTAATTTTTTTGTAGTTCTTAGGAGGAGGTCATTTCATTTTATAAGGCTTATAAATAAGCTGATATCTAAATCATGACCTGGGAGAATTCTTGTCTCTTGTCTCCTGCAATTTACTCCCAGGAGAGGCTGAGGTACTCAGAAGAATTTGTTTTCAAATACATTCTGTTTGGATACTTGTTATACTTTTCTTATGCTTTGCTGTGTCTTTGCTCAACACCAGAAAAGTAGATTTATGTGTACGCGTGCATGAGAGTTCTAGTAAAATATAAATATGAATTAATGGGGATGTAATGCTTTCCTTGAATTTGTGTCATTCTTTATTTTGCTTATTGTACTTCTCTTTCCCTCTCCCTTCTCACCACACACACACACACAGACACACACACACACACACCCCATTTTGGGAGTCCCGTGAAGGTAGACAAGGCAGGCAGGCATTTGAAATTACGGTGATAGACAAAGTGAAGCCCAGACTTTGGAGAAGGAAACCTCTTGGGCTGGAGGCTTGGCTCCTGCTTCCAACGCCATTTATTAATACACGGTCTCTCCCTCCGTGGTTCTAGAAAATCTCTCCAAGCCGAGGATTTCTCACGATGCCCAGTCTGAAGTCATAAAAGGACAGACCATAGAAGTCAGTTGCCAATCGATAAATGGAACTTGGCCTATTGCTTATCAGCTTTTAAAAGGAAATAGAGTTTTGGAGAGTTGTACAAAGAACTCCAATGATCCTGCCGTCTTCAAAGATAAGCCAACCAAGGACATGGAATACCAGTGTGTCGCCGATAATTGCCATTCCCACGCCAAAATGTTCAGCGAGGTCCTGAGGGTCAAGGTGATAGGTGAGTTGCGGTGCTATGAGAAGAAATCGTTGGGGTTGGGGCTTTAGTTAACATCTTTTTGAAGGTTTAGTGTTGCCCAGGGATTGTGGACAATAAGAGAAGTGGGTGGTACTTGTGCAAAGTCCGTAAGCAAGATATGCATCAAAGCATGACCAAGGCCCAGTAAATGGGGCCAGAAATTATTTGGGGACTATTGATGTGACGACCGATGTAATCTCTTTTCAGAACCTTTCTAGTGAAGTGCTAAAATATCATAAGCCTGCAAGTGTCCTGACTTCAGGAAGCCCTGAAGTTGTGTGTTTGGGCTCCCTTAGCATTTCCTCTTTTTCGGATGAACAGAGAGCCATCTCTCAGCTCTGAGAACTATAGACCAGGGCTCTTCTCAACTGTTGACCTCTGGTGGGGCACCTCTGTCGTGGTGGAACTCACAATAATGACAGCTACTGGCCATGGTCTCATGGGAATTGCTAACACTTGTCCGGGATTCTCATACTCAAGAAAAACATACCATTGTCTGAAAGTTGGCTAGGCCATTGCTTGCATCTCTTACATGCCCTGTATCCATTGGAAGGAGCGGAGAAAGGCTTCCTCCTCTTCATCCTCTGTCCCCTTCTTGTTTAATAATGCTTATCTGCACATGCTGCTTGGACATGGATTGGATAGAGAGATTCCTGCTTCTATTAATGTGTGGTCTAATAGCAGCCATACTTTTCCAGTTAACATTAACATCAATTGAGCACCAAATGCTATGGGACATACAAAAAAAGAGAAGATATATTCTTAGTTTTCAATGCTATAATAAGAAACATAGGACCTCCTGATGAAATAATGGAGAAATGTCTGAATAACAGTACAAATGAGCACAGAAAACATGTTACAGGCAACACTTGATTATTTGTCACACGAACCATATCCTCATGGTGATGTTGGTAGTAATTCAGGGCATGGGAGACAGTGTCTAGCTTGGCTGGGAAAGCTTTGAGAAGGAGCTGGGCTTTGGAATGGGTGGACAGAGATGGCTGAAGATGGCCTGCCATCTCTAGCAAGCACATGGGCCAACAGCTCCAGGCAACACTTTGAAAGACTGTGGGTAAATCAGATGGTGGGAAACAAAGGCTGGGAATGGAGAACCACTGGATATAAGCTACAAAAGTGACAGATTCCAATTGTGAAGGGCATCAAATGCCAGTCTTAGAGGCTGGGAATCATCCCGTGTGCAATGAAGAGCCATAAGAGGGAAGGAAGGATGGAATGAGATGGGTTCTTAGGAAGATCAACCTTGTGGTTGGATCAACAGGAAGGGGTGGAGACTTCAGACCTCAGGATACCTCAGAGGCTAATGCAGAAGTTCATGTGAAACTGTTGGTTTCAATTGGGTCGATATTAGTGGCAACATTTACTGACCTCTGACCATCTGTCCAACCCTGTGTGAAGTACTGTAGTAAATTACTCCAATCAATACTTACAACAGCCACGTAAGACCAGTAGTAGTATTGTCCTTGTTTTACGGTAAGGCAACTAAGGCTTAGGGCGAACTACTGGTGGGTGTGGGGCCGGGTTTGAGTGCAGGCAGTCTGGCTCTGAGCTACTACCGCCTGGTGCGTCACGGTGACAGAGGCCTTCAGGTCAGGCTGGACCCTCTGGGAGTCTGTCCTTGTGCAGGACCACTGCTGTCCCGGGCCTGGCGCTGGCTCCCTCTGACAGACAGGTCCATGGTCTCGCCACACCTTGCACTCACGGGAGAGCGACTCGAAAGTCAGAACGCCCCTCTACTGGCCAGTCCACTCTCACAGTGCTAGTGAAGTCTACCTGGGAGGACATTTGAGGATCAGGATTTTGGAGCATGGAGCCGGGAAAAGGGGAGGGGATATAAGAGATAGCCGAGCTCCGCTTGGACCTGCTGGGAGTGAGGCCGGCTGGGCTTCCAGGTGGAAATGCCCAGGTAAAAAGGGAAACTGGGAGTTCAGGAAAGGAATCTGGACTAGAGCTATCTGTTTAGGTGTTGAACGCCCAGGAATAGAAGCCGTGAGTATAGGTGAATTCACCAAAGAGGAGATGGAAAGGACTGAATTTTGCAGAAAGCCCATATTTCCAGATCAAGAGAAAGAATAACTAGTGAAAAGCAGGGGTGGCAGGTGAGGAAGGAAGAGAATCAGGGCTGTGAGGCTGCACAGAAGCCCAGAGAGGGCTGAGTTCAACAGGAAGGGCTGGTGGAACGACAGTGGAACTACAGCGGGGCAAGGTTGGCAGACTGGAGGAAGAACGTTCGCCTTGAATTTAATCTGCAGAGGACTCAAGGACGATGGTCAGGGGATCAGGCAACCTTTCGAGTTTCTTCGAAGCCAGAGATAAGAGTGCAGAGTCGGAGCACAGGATGGAAGTCAGATTTCAGGGGTAACAAGAAAGTGGGAGAGGAGGATGTGAAAGCGTAAGGGAAAAAGGAGAAAAACAGGACGATAGCTACAGAAGGCAGTGGGTCGAGGTTATTTGTAAGATCTGGAAGTGCCATGAGTCTCTCTAAGCAGAAGGAGAGAAATCACTGACACATACACACACACACACACACACACACACACACACACACATGCACACCGACCCCTTAACAGAACATGAAGCTGATCTTATAGTCAGGCTGAGTGGCCAGTGATCTTCAAGGTGCTGAGTGAAGGGAGGTGTCCCTGGTGTCTTGTGTTTACTGAACAAGCGAGGACAAGAGGCATCTGTGGCTTGGTCACCCTTCTGGGCTAATCAGGGAAGGAACTGAGACGAAGGGGGATGAGAGGAGTGACTTGAACGGAGGGCACAATCCAAGTCCGAGTCAGAGCCGGGGAGGTGTCTGGCCCATACGCAGCGGCTGTTTCGCGTTTAGGAAAAGCAGCGCTAATCCTCTTCCTGCTTTTCAGCCCCAGTGAGCGAGGTCAAGCTTTCCATCCTGTTGAGTGAGGCGGTGGAGTCTGGGAAGGAAATCGTGCTTCGATGTTCCGTGAAGGAAGGGTCTGGTCCCATCACCTATAGGTTTTACAGAGAAAAGGAGGGCAAACCCTTCCACCAAAGGACCTCAAATGACACCCAGGTATTTTGGAGCGAACCGCAGGCTAGCAAAGAGCAGGAGGGACAGTATTACTGCACGGCCTTCAACAGAGCCAACGCCGCCGAAAACACCCCTCACAGCAACTTACTGCCGGTCAGAGGTGAGTCAGGGTCTCAGCACCGAGGTGTAGGGTGGGCTTTAAGGGGCAAGGCCTCTTGCACCCCTTGTAAGAGGAACTGGGGGGAGTTTAGGTCATGTGACTGAGGATTAAGAGACCAATGTCCTCCAGGCTCTTGCAAGTGACAGAAACCCACTGAAATTAAGTAAAAAGGAATTAGTTATAAGGAAGTAGAAGTGTTACTCAAATTAGCATTGGTGAAAAGAGGAATGGATAATTATAAGGAACTGAAAGCATTTCACATGGTCCCGATTCCAAATTCTTGGCCAAGAGACACCGGTTCACTCACCTTGGGTCAAACACCCACCTGGATCACCTGTGGCCAAGGGCAGTGGGTCCTGCAGAGAGGACGTGGTGAGGGGAGTCCACCTGTGTGGGTGGAGGTGGTTTCCCAGAGAAGGAAGAGGGCTGAACCCACCCCCCAAAATTCTACTCTAGCGAAGCTGGTTTGTTCCCGCCTGGAAAACCACAGCTGACGTCTGTTTGTAACAGAAACAACTATTTCTGTACCATCTGCCAGGGGAGTCCCTCAGGGGGAAGATGACAGATGCAAGCAATGGAGAAATCAGTCTCACTTGTTGCTTAAACCTGATATTATTTCTTGCTGGCAGAGGAAGAATCCGTATATTAAAAAAGAAAAAATTTTTTTTTCATTTCTAGTTTTTCTCTCCCCATGGAAGAAAGGACTTATTGCAGTGATTGCCATCGGAGTGATAATCGCCACCTTGATAGTTGGGGCCAAATGCTATTTTCTGAGGAAAGCCAAGGGTGAGCATCGTTCTCTCCTTCTGTTCTGATAGGCTGGGTGGCGCTTTAGCTCCCCAGGGCGGGCTGAGGAGACATAACCAACTTTCCTCCTTGGGGCACCACCTTGGTAATCAAAGATTTTGGCTCTGGTAGGCGTGGAGCTTTTGTTGGCTCTGGATTCAGCGAGGCAAAATTGAAAGTAATTTCTTTTCTAGTTGGGCAAGCCAGATAAGACAGATTCTGGAGGAAGCTGCATCTTTGTGTGTTCACAAAGCCATTTCTGTGGGGTTGGCCACACCTGGTCCTGTAATGAGTAGAGTGGGGTATGGGTGTCATGGAGACACACACGTGCACATGTATGCATACACACATGCACATGCGTACACATACACTGAATGCTTCCTGATTAACCTGCCAGTTGTGCCATGATTTCTATCTACCTACCCCGTGCTTGGGGTTAGCCAAGCATCGATGGAGAGCGAGGACCACCTGCTGACACTCAGCGATCAGAGTCAGCTCTCCCGGACTCAAGGAAAAGGGCACAGCACCAGTAAATTCTGCAAAAAATTTTTGCGAGTTCTTTTGGAGCCTTTGGTGCTGCTGCCCGGAACAGAAGGGGGCAGGTGGGATGAGAAGGGGCCCTGGGTTTTTCCTCAAGCAGGAAAGCGGCCACCCCTCAGGGGAGACAGGCTCCAGGACAAACCCTGGCATCGGCCTCAGGACAGCTTGGAGTTAGAAGCACAGGGGTTGACTTAGCCTTTACTTCTTGGAATTATCTGGAATCAAAGAGGTAGCTGCCTCCTCATCTGGCTAATCTGGCTCCTATGTCGTTGTCTCCTTCTCCATCACACTCCACTGACAAACGTCGCCTCTTGCTGAAATAGTCAAGTTGTCATAAAGCTGGGGAAATGATGTGAAACCTCTTGGTATAAGACCAAGAGAACACCTCTTTTCTTTCTTTGCTTATTTTTTTTTAAAGGATGAGTATATTTGGCTTTCTTTCCTCTCTTTTTATGGGTATTCGATCTTTAGGAAAGTCAAATGTAGTTGAAATGAGTGTTTCTCTCTGGTATGGACGTGAGAACCTTATACTGACTTGGGTTTTTCTCTTTCTTTTTTAAAGCCAAGCAGATGCCAGTGGAGATGTCCAGGTGGGTGCAGTCGTGAGAGGGGCGGCTGCTCTGTGGGGAGGGTGGGCATGTCTGGAGGGAGACTCCAGGCCTTAGGAAGTTTGTAGTGGTTCTTGGCAAACTCAGGAAAGTATGAGCCTTCCTCGTGTGCGTGCGTGTGTGTGTGTGTGTGTGTGTGTGTGTCTCAACGGAACGTTGCCAAATGTCCTTTCGTGGGAAAGAATGGTCTTTACTCTGAGATCACGTCCTTCCTACGCTATTACTTGTGAAATCCCATTCCTTGTGAAATTCTAATGGTAGTAGATAAAATTTTAAAAATTTACCTACTTGGCAAAATAGAGTTGGCCTTTTAGAAAAATGGTTTTACTATCTTTACTGTTTTTGAAATCCAAAATCCAAAAGTATGGAAATGATTGCTCTGTTCTGGAGAGAAACAGTGGCAAGGGTGATAAATTCAGGGGATCGAGAGGGGCCTGATAAGGACTCGTTTGGTCCTGGCCTGATATCTATTTTAACAGCAGAAAGTTTTGTTAAATAATCTTAGAGCTGTAAAAGATATTAGTTTGCCAAAAGAGAGAGTAAAGTTTTCCTCACTTTGGAAAAGTCTTCCTGGTTTTCTCATGATGTTCCCTTGGTTATGTTGTTGGTTTGGGATTAGAGCCAAAAAATTCTTTCTTTTACATGTATATATATAAAAATTTTCTTTTAAAATTTCATTTTAAGGCCAGCAGTACCACTTCTGAACTCTAATAACGAGAAGGCGTCAGATCCCAATGTGGAAGCCAACAGTCATTATGGTAAAGTCTTGATGTCCTTCCATTGCTGATTTTTCCCGACGTGCCACACACTTCTTAGCCCCCTCAGAAGCAGAATCTGTAAATGGCAGGGTTAGAGTCGAAAGGGAGACCCTGGCTTCAACGGGGACACTTCATCTAATCAGCCATTGGATGGTGAGATAGCAAATCAAAAACTTAAAAGGAAAAGTACAACATTTTATTCTAATTTCACCACCTTCTGAATTTCCTGTAGAATGAAAGGTGGAGAATAATCCTAATGCCTTGTTCCCTGCGAAGGCTTTGAATACTGCTCTAGTGTAATAATTCTCCGTTTGTGAGGCAGAGACCAGATACCAAATTAAAGCATTGGTCAACATCTTCTCAGAGGGGATTATTACAAGCACAAGACAGTTTTGTTTCAAATTTGCCACAAAGGGAAACTAACTTAAAGATTTAGTCCTTAGAAGAGGCATTAAAAAAAGTGTTTCAAATAGGAATACTTGGTTTGGGGGGCTCATCACAGCTTGGGGGTCAGCTTAGCAGGGTGGGTGGCCAGTCCTCAGAATTCTTTGAATCTCATTAGGTCTGTAAGAAAATTGCTCCAGCATTGTAGCTGGAATGCTACTTCCTTCCCAGAGGGGGCTATAACTATTCCACACAGGCAGTCCTGTCCTGGACCAGATTTGGAGCAATTTTCTTTCTTTATCAGCAGCTTTGGGAATAGAATGCTCATGTTCTTTTCTAATTCTATAAGTGTCCCATAAAATAAGAGATATGCCTTTTACAAGGAAATATTTTACTGGAGAAATATGTTTTAAGAACTGAGAAATTCTTGTAGTCTGAATCATGAACCTTAAAAAAGGAAAATAAAATATTTATAGTAATAAAAGTAATGTGCCAATAAAAAGAAAAGAACAAATACATTGTTTGAGAAACTATATTTAGGCCAGGCTCGGTGGCTCACGCCTGTAATCCCAGGACTCTGGGAGGCTGAGGCAGGAGGATCGCTTGAGCTCAGGAGTTTGGGACCAGCCTGAGCAAGAGTGAGAGTCTCAAACTCCTGAGCTCAAGCAATCCTCCCGCCTCGGCCTCCCAGAGTGCTAGGATTGCAGGCGAGGGCCACCGGCCTGGCCTGTAAAAATTTTTTTTAATAAAGAACAACTTGATAGGCCGGGCGCGGTGGCTCACGCCTGTAATCCTAGCACTCTGGGAGGCCGAGGCGGGCGGATTGTTTGAGCTCAGGAGTTCAAAACCAGCCTGAGCAAGAGCGAGACCCCGTCTCTACTAAAAAAAAAGTAGAAGGAAATTATCTGAACAACTAAAAATATATAGAAAAAATTAGCCGGGCATGGTGGCGCATCCCTGTAGTCCCAGCTACTCGGGAGGCTGAGGCAGTAGGATCACTTCAGCCCAGGAGTTTGAGGTTGCTGTGAGCTAGGCTGACGCCACGGCACTCACTCTAGCCAGGGCAACAAAGTGAGACTCTTGTCTCAAAAAAAAAAAAAAAAAAAAAAAAAAAAACTTGATAAAAAAGACAAAAACTTTTGTTTATCTGTGCCCACCGAGGTGATAGCCTGAAGATACTGCTTCTTTAAACCATGTTTTCATCAATCCAATTCCTAACTGGAGAGGGTTAGTTAACCAGAGTCCTTCATGTCTGTGAGTACTGGCTGGTACCTTCCAGAAAGAGGTTCAATTTCTAATGAATTTGCTCACATTGAACAATTCTAAATTCTGAATAATTCACAAACAGAAGTGCCCCTCCCATGGGGTGGTAGACATCCCATTGGTGTTAGGAAAGGACCACACAGCGGGTCAGAGGGGGCCCACCGGGGACCAAGGAGGGGGATCCAGAACCCAGAGACTGATTGTCACCTACAATGAAGAAATCAGGATTGGCTTCCTTTGTTAGCGGCACTGAATTTTTTTAGACGCTATAAAAAACTAGAATTTCCGTTGTCACTCATCCTAATTGTTATTTTTCAACTAGGTTACGATGATGTTGGAAACCATGCAATGAAACCAATAAATGATAATAAAGGTAATTACCTAATTAAATGTTTTCATTAGACACTTTTGCATGTAAAAGGACCCTACAGGAAAAGAAAACTAACTTTTAGGCTGGTGGATAATTCCCCACCCCTCTTAACGACCCTGTGACTAACTGATGTGTACACAGAGATGGCTACTTGCTTTCTCCAAAAATGCTATCTAGTGTCCTTAATGGGAAAGTAACCTAAATCCAAGTAGGGGAGAACTGGGTTATACCTAAAAAGCAACTTCCCGCCTCAGAACTGGCTGCTGAGTAAGGTAGCAGGACCTCTTTTCTCTTGGGTATTGAGGCGGAGATTTTAAAAGACAATTAACAATAGATCACTTGCTTCCATCTAAAGCTCAGAGGGATTGGGCTAAATCGTTTTTTTCAGAATTCCTTTCCGCTCTGAGCTGCTTGCGTGCTAACTCCTAGAGAAGTGAAAGGATTCTGTAAAGGCTCTTTCTGAAAAGCATCCTTGACTGCAGAATCATCATTTTAGTAGCTGATGAGAACCCCTGATTCTTTGGGGCTTTAAAAACAAAACAATTTTATTTTGAGTTCAAGACAACCTTCCTAGCTTTCACGTCGCACTATGAGCGACTTTGTTAACTGGCATGCCTCACACTCTTAAAACGTTTTTAGGCTGCTGGCCCCCAGTCCCCATTTCCTGAGATTCCTTTGATCTTGGAGACAGCTCTGTAGGCCTGTGGCCATGCAGAAGGCCGCCAGCATTTTGAGTGAGACTGAACTGGGTTAACTGCCGTGGCTAATACTGGGCCGTTTTCTGTCTCTACTGACCTGTTACAAGTCCTCCCACTGCAGAAACGGGGACCGGTGTGGGAGGGTCCCTCCACATCTGGGTAATGGGAGTGTCAGAAACTAGACCACTGGCCCCGAGGTCCTGCCTCTGTCTCCCAGACCACCGCAGGGCTCATACTGCCTTCCCCAGCTGGAATGGAGTTACCCCTGTGTCTAACCACCCCATCGAAATGTGAAATACATTAATAATTTTAATGAAAATCTCTAATGTGGTCTGAGGCCCCTGAAAAAGATTCTGTCTAAACACAGAATGCTGTGGTTTGTTTGAGCAGAGCCTCTGAACTTGGACGTGGAGTACACAGAAGTGGAAGTGTCCTCAGCTGAGCCTCACAGAGGTAAATGCCGCGCTCACTTGAGTGAGTCCCATGCTTTGCTCTCGGCTGGGGTGGAGACCCCAGGGTGGGGGTGCTGTGCCCAGTGAGAAGAGTCCAGGCACCCTCAGTTGCTCCAAGCGAGGTGGTCACAGCACAAATACTGGGCCCATCTAAGGTAGAAGCAAAAGCCCTGGCCCAAGCTCTGAGCTGTAAAATTTCGATAATTATTAGCTATGATGCTACTAATAATAGATAACATTTATTGAACACTTACTAAGTACCAGGCAATTACTAAGTGCTGAGAAATTCATTTCTGTGCAAGAGACTTTGAAGGTAGCCTTACTCCTGAGTGTTGAGGCTTTTTTCCAGAGGTACCCCCACCGTGGCCAATCCCATGTGTTCCTCGCTTGTGCAGACTGAACGTGTATAAATCAAATGCATGTTTTGAGGTATTGAGGGCTTTGCTGTTTAGTAGGACACTTGGGTAAAGGCTTTTTGAAAGCAGGAAATCCTTGGCAGTGTAAACAGTGGCACTGGTTTTACACCTCAGGTTTTGTTTGTGTGCGTGGTTCTCTCCAGGGCAGGCCTGCCTGGGGGTCCCTATCTCTGGTTCTGTGCTGGGAAGACAGATGCAGAGCGGGCTGGGCCACAGAAAATTCCAAAATATCAATCTCAGTTGCTTTTGGCGCTAGAAAAAAACATGGATATCCTAACCCTCCTCCTCCTCAGCTCACCAGAGGGCTGGGCTCCTGTACGCTCAAAGGAAATAGTCATTCGGAACCTCCCTACCCTGCCGGGATGCTCCTTAGGACTGCTCTGGGGCAGTTTTGCAGGCCGAGCCCTCCATCGTTAGCCAGAGGCACATGGCGATGGCATCCTGAAGTCACCTCTTGCTCCATGATCTGGGAGGAATGTCGGATTACTTCCTCCTTCTCTTGTTCAGCATGGTCTTGTCAGCAGGTGTGTGCGCAGAACTTTCCTGCCAGGGCCGTCCTGCACAGCCCCTCGCCTGTGTGCTGCTCCACTGGGGCACCACTCCCATAGCCTGCCTGGGATCGTGCTGCCAGTCCGCACGGCCACCCGGGCACCCACTCGCAAGTCTAGACTGGATCCGAGAGGGCTGGGAACCGTGGCAGACCTGAAGTCTTCCTCGTCTTTGATCACTGCAACGTGATCACTTGTTAGATAACAAGTAGTGATTAAGGCCCATGATGGAATAGCCACCATGCGAGCAGCAAAGGACACGCAATCCTTTCCTAGTGCGGGGACAGCCCGAGAGGGGGCTCAAGCAAAGGAGCGATAGTATCGGATCATAGTAAGTGCTTAGAAGGAGGAGAACAGGGTGCAATGAGAAGGCATAAAAGGTGATGCCTTTTCAGGAGGCCCCTTTGAGGGGTGGCATTTAAACAGGGCCTGAAGGGTGCAGAGAAGGCAGCCCCACGAAGGGGGTGGGGGGCAGGCAGCACCAGGAAATGGGAAGGGCAGTGTGAGGCGGCTCAGGGCTTGGTGCATTTAAGATCCGAAAGGCAGCCCTTGTGTCTTAGGGTGAGCGAGGCAGAGGGAGGCATGTGGCGCTGGGGCTGATGCAGGGCCTCTAAAATTTCATTTGCCTTCTGTTCCAAATGAATGAGAGAGCCTTTGGAAGGCTTAGACAGGGAAGTGACAGCTTCCAACTCCTATCTTTAAAAAAGATCCTCATGCCTGGGGAGGAAAATGGATCGAAGTGGGGGCAAGAACGGAGGGAGAGAGACCAGTATGTTACCACCAGCCAATAGGGGACGAGCGGGGAGCCAAAGTGCCAGCAATGCGTGGATTCTAGATATGTCCTGGAGACAGAGCACAGTGCCAGATGAAGAATGCATGGGCCAGGATGGGGGAGACGGAAGTACCGCATGTTTCTTGATTGAGCAACAGCATGGATGGTCGTCACGTCCGAGGTTGGGAGGAGGAAGCTTGTGATGAGTTCTGGTCAGTTTGGGTTGAGTGTGAGATGTCCGTGCGACACCCAGCAGTGCTCAGAAGCGAGTCTGGAGGGGACTGTGGTGGCTTCTCCCCGGCCTTTCCTGCACATAGCACCCCCTCTGTCACCAGGCACTGTGAGCGTGGTCTCCTGAGTAGCGGTTTGCTTCCTCTTGAGGGGAGGTCAGGTTTGGAGGCAAAGTGAACAAGAGGGGAGGGCTGCCCAGAGGTTTTGATTTTTGTTTAATTTGTTTTGTTTTGAGACAGTCTCACTCTGTCAGCCCAGCTAGAGTGTGGTGGTGTTATCATAGCTCCCTGCAACCTCAAACTCAGGTGATCCTCTGCCTCAGCCTCCCGAGTAGCTGGGACTACAGGCATGCACCACCACACCCGGCTAATTTCTTCTATTTTTCGGTAGAGATGGGGTTTCACTCTTACTCAGGCTGGTCTTGAACTCCTGACCTCAAGCGATTCTCCTACCTTTGCCTCCCAGAGCGTTAGGATTACAAGTGTGAGCCACCATGCCCAGCCGTGCCCAAAAGTTTTGGGTGTGAGTGGAAAAACCCACTGTCTTCTCCATTCTTAAGCCTCCACATTCCACTGAGCACTCAGTGAACTGGGCCCTGGCACAGGGCTTCTGATGCCACTCCCCACAGAGCGCCAGGCCCTGGCTTTGCTCAGCTGCCGGCTGGGCCAGAGTGGGGTGGAGCTCTGAGGGCTGTGCAGAATACCTGGATGGCTTTGGGTTGAGGGAAGCTGGAAGGGGAAGGAAGAAGTAGGGTTTTGTCTTTGGAGAAATGTCCATTTTCCATTCCTTTGGGGATGTGTCCCTGGAAGTGGTATCTGACATTCTTTTTCTCCGCTGAAGGTGGGGAGGGATTGAATGTAGGGAAGAGGGAGGTACAGAGACCCTCTAGAGGAAGCCTCCTCCTTGGCAGCTAAGGGGCAGCTGGGGGAGGGCCAGGCCTCAGCCTCTGGTGTTCACCCCTTACCTTCCTGTGCGTGGGGAGCAGAGTGTTACTAGGTGAGGAAAGGGCTTTGTGGGCTCCAGGCCAGTGACGATCAACTTGACCTGGTCTTGTTCTCAAGGCCTGTTCTCAAGGCCTCTCCTCTTCCACCTGTGAGGGGGGGATGGGGGCCACGTCCAGCTCTAACCCTGGCTGGCAGCTGCCCAAGTGGTCACTAGGGGTGGAGGAGGGGTGGGAAGGAACTCGTTAAATCCTGGTTTGCTGCGTGTTTGCTCCAAGGCTAATTGCTGGGAAAACCCCATGACGTCGAAGCCATCTCTTCCTCTATTAACACAGAAAAACAGAAGCCAAAATTAAGCCCCATCCGGAAACATCCCTGACAGCAGAGACAAACAGCTCGCAGGCCTGGATTTGTCATTAGCAGGCAGCTGCTGCCACAGGGCACAGAAGTGGGAAGTAGTCATGAGCTGACCCCCAGGGACCGCAGGGCAGAGCAGACCCGGGGACGGCAGCAGCTCCAGCAAGAAGTGGAAGCCACCCCTGCCGTCCGGGCTGATAGGAGTTACGAGGAGAAAGGGGGTTGAGCAGAGCTGCGCAGGTCCAGAGGGGGTTAGGTCATCCCCAAGGCGACCACAGAGGTCTTCCAGATGGCCCTCATGTGCTGGGGGGCGGTGGGGCTCTCGAGGTGTCCAGGCCCTCAGGCTTGGCCACCGAGCTCTCGCTTTCCATTTAGTCCCTGCCTTCCCCGGTTCCCACCGTGGGGCTGGCAGTGCCCGTGCGCCCGGTGCACAGCGTCCTCCAGGGTTTACCACAGCATCAGCGCTGTTTGCATGCATCTGCCTCACAGCCCGGTGCTCCCAAAAGCTGGAACCAGGGCCGGTCACCTTTCCTATTGCATGGTGCAGGGCACACAGTAGGTGTCTAGATTTATGCTGGACGAGTGACGTGCCCAGGCCTGATGTCGAGCAGAGGATACCTCGGGAATGTGAGGGACCCCCCAGCAGGTATGGGGCTCCCTAGAGCTTCCCTCTATGCCCCCAAATCTGGCACCACAGAGAGAGAGTGGAGGGTTGTACGGACATCTCTGCTGTCCCAGCTGTGGGATCTCCTGGTATCTCAGCCACTCTACTGAGTTCTCTCTCCTCTTTGGTAACCTGGGGGAGTCACTACAATGCCTTCTGCAAGGCCCCGGTCACCACAAATGCCCCAAGTTCAGTTGTGAGGATCCAAACCACCCCCACACCTCTCTCCTGACATGTGGGTTCTGACACAGAAACCACCACCGTTCACTGCCGCTTCAAACTTTGACAGGTGTCCCCAGGTAGCTGCGCAAGCCTGGGAAGGGGACATGCCCATGCCCAAGACCCCAGTTGCTGCCCTGGGGGAGCTCAGGATCTGCCAGGGGAGAATACAGGGGGACAAAGTGAGTGTGTCATAGGCAAATGTCTCCAGAGTGCTGCGGGAGCACGAGGGCACACGTACCTGCCCAGGGCGCAGAGAGGGGCGAGTGTGTGGGTGTGCACACAGGAGCGAGGCTTGCCTGGGGTCCTGGAGGAATGGGGCAAAGGAGTGTGTGCAGGGTCAGCAGGTGAGAATCGGGCATCCCTGGGGCACGGTGAGTTGAGGGCCTCCCAGTGCGATCAGAGTCCATGGTCGTGCCCCAGCCATCTGCGCCTGGGAGAGGAATGCCCACCTGGCACTGACCACGGCCGCAGGAAGAGCCTTAGCCTGTCTGAGCCTCCCTTCCGCAACTTATAAAAGGAGAATGTCAGCCCAGACAGCGTCGGGCACCTTTCCACAGTGAGGCATCCTTGTCCTCTGTGCAGGTGACAGGAGCCGGGGAAGTGGCCAGATTCCATCCTGTTTCCTCAGGGTGTGTGTGTGCGTGCCTGCGTGCATGAGTGTGGACATTGAGTACAAGCGTGTGTGTACACGGCATGCATGTCTGTATGTACATACAGAGCATGTACACACTGTGTATGACGTGTGTAGACACACTATGGGTATGTATACCGTACGGGGATGTACACAGCATGTGTGTGTGTGTGTACGAGCATGTGTGCACGTGTTTGTGTATACACACCCTGTGCTTATACCTCAGTGTCAGGTAAACAGATGGCGGCAGGGCACACTTTGTCTCCCAAGCCCCTGAGTCTCCTCGGGGTGTGATCCACACCCTGGGTCAGTCGTCTTGTCCGCTGTTCTGAAAGGGTCTGGCCCACAGAATCTCAACCCTATCTGCATATTGGGTCCTCCAGGAAGCTCTTAGAAAATCTGACACAAGGGCCCAGCCCAGACTGATCCAGTCAGAGTCCGCAGTGAGGCCCAGGTGCTGGTGGGAAACCTGCGGGTGCGGCCGTCCAGCTCCGCATGTGCTTCCTGGTCCCAGCTGAGCCTTAGAGTCCCTGATGACGTCCAGGCTGTCACCCAGGCCTCGGATCCGGTTCTGGATCCCAGGGGCCGGGCTCCCAGGTAATTGGGAGGCCATAGCCCAGCCCTGCTGGGAGGGGCCTGGCAAAGCAGCTGGACACCGGTCACTGTGGCAGGGAAAGAGGGATGGGGCCCGAGCTGGAGGCTGCAGGCCTGTTCTGGGGCCCCCTCCCTGTGGTCCCTCAGGTCCAGGGTTCCTCTGGGGCAGGTGGCCCTGGCCCACAATGACCTGTTGACCTCCTATTTCCAGACTGAGAGTGACACTGGTTAGACCCGAGATGTCTAAAGTCAGGAGATGACAAGGTCTCCCGGTGCTTCTGGCCTCGGGCAGTGGTAGGGCAGAGCCGGGGCGGGAAGGCCTTGCCTGTGGAGCCTCAGACCCTTCCCTGCTTCCGCAGGGGCTGGCCTGGTGCCCAGGACAGCTACTGACCTGTGCCTGGTCCCTTTTCTAGCTCTGGGAACGAAGGGCATTGAGACGGTGTACAGTGAAATCCGGAAAGCCGACCCTGGTGAGTGAGGGTCCCCCGATTCCCCAGCCTGGAGGGTGGACAGAGAAAAGAGGAAGCGAAGACAGCCAAAAAGCCGCTCACCGCAGGGTGTTGGCTCACTCCCTCCCACTCCCTTTAAAAAGCCTCGGGTTACATGACTGTTCATTTAGGCAAAGAATGCTCATTGACCCCCATGCTCACCGAGCCTCACTGCTCCCCACACGGGCCCTGACGACTGGGGCTCCCCAAGGTCTTAGACAAAGTCAAGTGGTTTGCTTTGAAGACACTCAGTGGCGTCAGCCTTTCTGAGAGCAGACTGACTTTGGGGGTGAGGGGGGGTGGGTTTAGAATTGCCCCAGGCCCCACATCAGTCCCCACAACCCCCCACTTCCTCACTGAAGCTGAGCACAGTCCCCAAGCAGGCACGGAGCTGGGGAAGCACCCAACAGCTTCATTGTTTTGTCTAATGATTGTATTCAATTCTGGTGAAATGAAATCCACAAAGAAATGTTTAAACTCTGAAAGTAAGCGAGCAATCCAAAAGACATAACAGTCTGGGGGAAAGAGTAGCTGTGCAAGTATCTAGCTTTGCACAGTGGACCTCTATGTATGTGGATTCTCTGAAATGGAACCATTAGAGTGGGCTGGGAAATTTCTGCCAAGGACGGCTACTCCGAGTGCAGCCTGAGAACCGCCAGCAGCGGCAGCAACAAGCTCAGAGCCCACAGAATCAGAATCTCTAGAATCTGAACTCAGTGAGCTCTCACATGTTTCTGATGCTGCCAATATTTGAGAAGCGCTGTGTTTTTTTTGTTTGTTTACAGAGTCTCACTCTGTCACCCGGGCTAGAGTGCCGTGGCATCAGCCTAGCTCACAGCAACCTCAAACTCCTGGGCTCAAGCGATCCTCCTGCCTCAGCCTCCCAAGTAGCTGAGACTACAGGTGTGCTCCACCACACCTGGCTAATTTTTTCTATTTTTAGTAGAGACAGGGTCTCATTCTTGCCCAGGTTGGTCTCAAACTTCTGACCTCAAGTGATCCTCCTGCCTCAGCCTCCCAGAGTGCTAGAATTACAGGCATGAGCCACCACGCCTGGCCTGAGAAGCACTGTTTTAAAGGAACTGTTCAATGCTCTCAAGAGCCTACTTTTTGTCTGAAATAGTGATCATTCCTCAATTTATAATTTTTCAAAAAAAATTGGTATCTTCATGGGTAGAGTAGAAACTCAGCCCCTTGTAGAACTTAACAGTGATCGAATGATTTTTATAAACCACTTGCTGGGGAATTTTTGGCTCAAGTGCCACATTTTGCAATCTCAATATATTCAGAGTCAGCGAAATGCTAATTTGGAAATAAATAGGCTTTCTCTAGTCGTCTGGCGTAATGGAAAGTTAAAAGTGAAGCAGGGGGTTCAAGGTTGGTCCCATTGTGCAATTGTGCAAAAATGCCCTTTCCTCTTTTGTGATCGTCCCTGAGATTGTTCATGTCCTCATGTCAGTGCTGGACAGTTCACGTTCAAGTGCTTTGGTTATGCTCATATTTGAGCGCTTACTGTATGTGCTAAAGCGGTGTGGGTACATCATCTCTTTCAACTTTCACAACAAATCCCTTTTTTTTTTTTTCTTTTTTTGAGAAAGAGTCTTGCTCTGTTGCCCCAGCTAGAATGCAGTGGCGTTCTTGTAGCTCACAGCAACCTCAAACTCCTGGGCTCAACTGATTCTCTTGCCTCAGCCTCCCGAGCAGCTGGGGCTACAGGCATGTGCCACCACACCCAGCCAATTTTTCTATTTTTTGTAGAAACCGGTTCTCTCTCTTGCTCAGGCTGGTCTCGAACTCCTGAGCTCAAGCGATCCTCCCTCCTAGGATTACAGGCATTGAGCCACCGTGGCTGGCCACAGCAAATCCCATTTTACAGATGAGGATACTGAGGTGAAGACCGGTTAAGACACTTGCCCAGGATCACACGGCAAGCAAGCCCCTGAGGACTGGCCACTTTGGAGCTGACGCCATGCTGCAATCACTGGGCCGCACTGCCTTTGGTTTGGGAAGGGAAGCTGGAGGGATGGGGAGGCTGCAGGGGTCCCCGCTGCGGGAGGCCAGCTCCCCACCACCTCTGCCTTGGGGCTTGGGGGTCTGCGGTCACCTGAGGCTACCAGTGGAGGCCCTTTGATAGCTGGAGAAGGCCACCCCAGTGTGGATTCCAAAGAGTCTGTGCCGGGGGAGAAAAGCAACTTTTTTCCCCTCCTTTTCTAGTGTCTCTGCCTGAGGCCATGCACATTAGACTAGACAGACTGACAAGAGAAAAATAAGAGTTTATTAACACATGCAGCGCACACCGTGCAGGAGGAACCCCAATGATGAGTAACTCAAAGGAGTGGTTAGAACTTGGGATCTATTAATAGTGATATATGGCGTCTTAACAATGAAAAATAAATTTGTAGAGAAGTGACAAGACAAAGGAAAAGTGGTTTTAGGCTTCCAAGGGTGGCAAACCGTGGGAAAACTAATCAAGTGAGGTTTGTTTGCCCAGGCCCATCTTGGTGCCGACTTTCTGTCTTTGTGGCCATAAAACTTCCCCGGGAAGGGAGGATTTATAGCAGTCCTCATTTCTCAGCAGTGTCTGTTTTTAGTCAGATAAGGAAGCTCTGGGAAAGCTTCTTTCTGTATGTGTTGATTTGCATTTGCCTCCAGCTCAAAATGGTCCTTATGCCGAAGTGGTGTGTTTTGGGGTGGCATATTCTGATTTTCTACAGCTGCTTTAGGGCAGTAAGGTGTCCAGGTGGGTTCTCTCAGGGCGCCCAGGCTGGTTCTAGATTACTCACTCGGCCCTGGGTCGTTGGAACCTGAGAGCTCCCTCGGGCTGAAACCACAGGCACTGGGGAACCTGCCCTTGCAGGGATTCAAGGTAGTCAGGAGCCTTGCTTTGCTAAGGGACATCCCCGCCCCTGCCCTGGGGCTGCTACTCGCCAGCTGTGTGACTTTGACCAAGACGTCTTGCCCGCCACCCCTGTCCCCCTGACTTGGTTGCTTCAACTGTTACATGGCAATGGGATTAAATGGGAAAGGGGAAGAAGTAGGACTATGGGAGACGGTGCTCCTTGTCCCAAGGAGTCAGTGTGTTATCCCCTCCATACAGTGAGCATTCAATCACTATTCGTTTACAAACACAGAGGAACTTGAGCCCTAGAGAGTGCAGTGTCTTGCCCAGGCCGAGACTAGAGCGCTGTCCAGTCCCAGGCTGGGCTGCTGAGATCAGGGTTGCAGTCCCTCTGCGATCTGGGCTCTGACCCGGCAGCCGGTTAGCGAATCCGACAGGTCTGTAACCTGCCCAGGTGCTGAGGGGAGAGAGAGAGCCTTGGGGCCTGCAGTGACCTCACCTCACCTTGCCTAGAAGGCTCCCATCCTGGAAGCCCGGAGTTTCCTGTTTCCAAGTATTTCCCCTCAGCTGCTGCTCAGGGACAGGAGCCCGCAGGCCACGACTGATTCCTTTTCTTTCTTTTCCCCTTCTTACTGAATTGCTAAAGAGCAGGCATCCATTTGAGGATTTCTCTCCTTAATTCCCTGGGACTTCCTTAACAGAAACCACTTTTTAAGTAATCCCTTTTCTCCACTCCCCACAAAAAATCAGAAAGGGAGATTCCCCCTCGGCCTGGGGGAAGCCAGGTGATTCTCCAAGGAGCCAGATCCTTCGGCCCCTGGTGATCCACCCTCAGTCTTCTCCCACACTCACCCTTGACCTCCCTTTGGGAAGACTCCCTCAGAGTGGCTAACAGCTGTCATTGCTTACACATCCTCACAGCCGTCCCCAGTCTTCAGCATGGCCAAGTTCCTCGGCAACTCTTTGCTCTGGGTACTATTCCACCTCTATAAACTGCAAATTTCTTTTGTTCCGTGTTGATTTTTTTTTCTCCTTACACCCTAATTGTCTCTAGGTTGGGAGAGCACCTTCCTTCTCTGTCACGGTTAAAGCTAACATGCATTGAGCACTCCCTGCGTCTGAGGCCCTTGGAGTCCTCGCTTAATCCTCAAGATCCTCATAGGGTACACGGGGGCTCTGTTCTTATTCCTGCTCTACCGATGGGAGAGTGGGCCCAGAGGTTAAGGAAACTGTCCTTGTCCCATGGCCAGCGCGAGTAGGGTTGGAGCCCAGGGAGCCCGGCAGCAGAGCAGTGATCTTAAACCTACCGATTTCTTTTGTCGCTAAACCAATTGACTGCGTTCTTCTCTATTTCCCATCTTACTCGGTTTGGTTTCCACGTTATCATCTGCATACTTGTAGAATCCAACTCTGTCTACTTTAGAAGTTAAGATTAACATCCTGGGTGATCTGGGCGACACTGGGCAAGTTATGGGACCTCTCAAGGCTTTGGTCACCTTCTCTGTGAAATGAGGGGGATGGGCCAGACTGTAGGTCAATGGTCCCCAAGGTTTATTAAAACACAGATCGTGGCCAGGTGTGGTGTCTCACGCCTGTAGTCCCAGCACTTTGGGAGGCCGATGCGGGAGGATCACTTGAGGCCAGGAATTTGAGACCAGCCTGGGCAGCATAGTGAGACCTCGTTTCTACAAAAAATTAAAAATTAGCCAGGCATGATGGCACATGCCTGTAGACCCAGCTACTCAGGAAGTTGAGACAGAAGGATCGCTTGAGCCCAGGAGGTTGCTGTGAGCTATGATCATGCCGTTGCACTCCAGCCTGGGTAACAGAGCAAGACCCTGTCTCTGAAAAAAAAAAAACCCAAAAACAAAAAACACAGATTGTTTGACACCACCTCGTTCCTCCCAAATTCTGATTTTCTGATTCAGCAGGTCTGGAGTGGGGCTGAGAATTTGCATTTCTAGCAAGTTCCCACATGCTGCCGTCGCTGTTGGCCTGGGAACCACACTTTGAGAACCACGCTCTAGATGCTCTGAGTTCCCTTCTGATTGTGCTGCACTAAGGTTCTGCTTCTTGTCAGAAGGCGAAGGGTCATTGTTACCCCCAGAAATCCTGAAGGGATCACTCAGGGCTGGCCAGCAGG